TCAACTTTTGGTAAATAAAATTAATCATTAATATGTTAAATTAATAATAATAATATTAATAAATAAAATAACTAGAAAACCATTGTTGTCTAATTAATTTGTATACTACAGAAATAATAAAATGAAAATATTAAAAATGTATCAAAACAACTATTGGGCTAAATTTATTTAAAAAAATTATTTTACGTTATAAAAACAATTAATAAACAGAAAATAACAGGTACCTACTGTTCACGCCAAGCTGTTAGCGCATCGCGTTATGCAATTATGTGCGGTAACGCTGTGCAATCGTAAGTCTTTACTTTATTTCTAATGTATTATTATCGCCGTCAAACTTAGCAGCTGTTTATTGTCAACGCCGTTGCCGAGCCCCAACATAAGTCCACCAGCAACGTACATACATACGCTGTGCGAGAGCCTCCCAGATCGTACAGTTCGACGTCTACCTACTGCATTAAAGTCGTCGTCAGTCTATCATCATCTCAAGACGTCAATGGTGTTAAGTTTGTTCTTAAGTACTGTCCCTAGTTTTGTGAGCTCTGTGGTCATTGCACCAGACCGAATCGACCACAGAGATCCCCTGCCCATAACTAACTTGCACCATCTTAATTTCTTTGACAGGTCTCTCACTTCCTCGTCGTTGTAGTCGCCGTGCGTAGAATGGTTTACCTATGAACTATCAGGTGAGTGCACATATGGTTGCCTAACCATAGCAACAGTCGGCGTTAGTGGTGGCATTGGCCATAGTCGAAAACAAAAATTGTTCTCGTTCATCAGGTAGCCCCTACTTATTGCGCTCACAGGTACATTAAAATGTAAGTGGCCGAGTCACCTTCCACTAAATCTATATCAGAACTGAGATCGAAGTCTTCATCAGATGACAAAAGGGTTTTCTGATAAATTAAAAATTCCATTATCTCGGTGATACACGACTGCGGACGGTTCTTATCGGGGCGACCTTTTTATTGACACGATTGCGAACGATTATAGTTTATCAGCGGACCCCCGAATATTACACTATTGCGGACACATGTTGCCCAATTTATAAATAATACTTCGATAATGTGGGTATGTGGAAATTCTGAGAGTGATCAGAACGTGGTAAAGAGTTAGTTCTACACAAAACGAATAAATATGGATTTAGGCGACTGCGGAAAGATGGAATTTTGAAATGGTTATGTACAAATTAATAAAGTCTGTAGTGCAAGTATTTTGACGGCATCGGTGGCAAAAAAAGATTTAGATAGAATCAACCTAACTATTCAGAGCTATAATGATAACAAAAATCACCAAAACGTGATACAATATTTAAAAAAAATTAGTTGTCATTACAGGGGGAAAAAATATAAATTTAATTAATTTATTATTATATTGAGCTCTTGACTTTAAATGTGTATATTATATTATTATATTGAGCTCTTGTTTTTTACTTTTTTTGATTTTCAATTTTTAACTGTGTTATTAAGAACTTTTATAAAATTGATAATATTTGGGCTTGGTAGACCGCGTCGCACAACTTGGCAACGTTTCATTAAATTTCGACCGCAGTCGTGTCATTTTTCGGATGCAACATAAGACCTTTTGTTCTATAATGATCGTCCGCAATCGTGTTGCAAAAAAGGTAAAGCGTCCGCAATCGTGTTTCACCCCATTATCTGTCACTCTTTTTTTTTATTGTAGGTGATTTTGATATTTCCGATGAACCCGGATTATTGTCCATTTTGTATGAAAAAGGTAATAATATATCAACTAATAATCTTACAAGATCGAAACAAAATTATCAAATAAATCGTATTATAAAATGATGCTTACGTTATCATATAATTGTAAAATTAAATTAATACTTTAAATCGGGAGCCTAATTATATTATTATTTTAGTTTTGGGCAATTCAACTTTTTTTTCAAACAAAACCGAAAATGTTGTACATTTGCTGAAATATCTTCACTTCTTTTCAACTTTTCATTGTACTTTTTTTCATTTCAAAGCTAATGAATTGTGTCATCAAATACTAATATATACAATCAAACCAGAAATGTACAAATTATATTTATTAAATTGAAAAATTGAAAAAAGGTAATTTAAAATTAGCAATTTTGAAATGTAATAGTTTATGCCTATAACAATTAACAACGCTGTAATTGTTAAAGTTTTTATTTTTTTGGTTTATCGTTCTACCGAATAAAGATGAACTGAGACTTCACTCTTAGAGTATTTTTTCATAAATTAAGGTTTACTATCATATTATGAGGCCGATCGGTCAATATATATATGTAATGATATATATATCAGTATAATACACATTGAAATAGTATTGCTAAGTAGGTAGGTGAATAAATCACAGAATGAGATGATTTTGATGTAAATTATGCGATTTAATATTATTAAAATTCGATTATCAATTATGACCAATAATATCAATTTTGTTAGCATGAAAAAAGTTACACAAAATTAATTAAAATTATGTAGTCACTTAAATCAATACAATTAATAAAGTATGTACCTTTTTAAAAATTGTTATCAACTTTAAATAATCATGGAAACATACAAAAATGTTCTGATATCAAAAATGTCCGAAATATAAAAAAATGAGAGTAGGTAATAAAAAAATTAAAATTGGTACATAAATTAGTTCATTATTAACTCTAAATTAGGTCAAATAATAACATCTTTCAAAATAAATTATAGTAGTGAGTAGTCGGTAGTTTGGATCACAAAGTAGAGACTAACCACAGCTTTCAACTGTAGGTATATTTTTCTTTACAATCTTTAGTTTATGCAGTTGATTATAATAGGTTAATTAATAATCTGTGTTATATAAAAATCATGGTAATGTAAACTGTAAATTGTTACAGCATTATAACTAACTGCATTCTATAAATCAATTAATATAACTTGATTAACAAAAAAAAAAATAAACAATGAAAATACTTACAATTTGGTACTAACAAATAAATAGAACCAATTAAATTCAATAATGACAAGGTTAATTTGTTTTTATATTTATGAACGATTTGCACCCAAAACAGATTTTTGACTAATATTATAATATTTAAATTAATTTATCAGAGTTTTTGGATATTTTTGATTGGGCTGTCGTAAGAAAATATTTTATAGATTATTGTATTTAACCTGGTGGTATATACATTAACTAGATAAATGTATACAGATGTATAGCTACGATGTATGATATTTTAAATTGTATTAATAATTGAGTATAAAATACATACTATTATAATCAAATACTATGTAATCTGTCATATTATCTGAAATTGTATTATTCTTGTATTATATTTAGAAGTATAATGCATACTATATTCACATCATTGTTCAATGCACTAGGTAGTTAAACAAGTGTATATACGTGGTTATGCAATGAAACATTCCTTATTTTTTTTAAGATGTTACTCCACTGTAACACGGACGCGCGTTAGACATTTCGTATGAATGGGGAATGTAGGGGTTTTTCTAGTATCCAATTGTTGGTTATTACATTTTGGTAAAATAAATATTATTTAGCTGTGACTTGTCATAATGCAAAGCATGAATTATAGTCGGTTTTCCATTTAAATAAAAATTTAGATGACATGGTAGTGTTTGTGGTTGACACAAAATTACACCACAATAAGTTATGGAAGTTAGAACATAATCGTAAGAATAGTAGGTAATGAGTAGAGTACGGATTTTAAAGCAATAAAAAACTAAAATAAAGCACTAAAAAAAAGCAATAAAGCTGTCTAAATCTTCCAAAAAAGCTTTAAAAAAAGCATTAAAAATAGGTTTTTAAAAAAAATTTATCACAAAAAAAGTATTAAAATTATTTTTAAAAAAAAGGTATTATAATAAACTTATTAACAACCCTGCTTCTCCGAGTTTTCATTCTTCCACAATTATTAATCTGTAAATTGAATTTATTCTATTTAAGATAATTTATAAAAAATAAATTAAATAATAGTTATGAAATGATTTTTTTTACCTATATCATGGGAGTTGCATTGGACAATCAAAACTTTTTTCAAGTTTTCAAATAAAAATTTTCTACGACGATCGGACAATATATGCTTGTATTTTGAAAAACTACGTTCGACGTCAACAGATGTAATAGGAGCAAATTTGTAATGTATTAAATCATCACATGTTAAGTCTTCAGGAAGTTCCTCTCTTGATACTTTTTCGCCTTTTAGAATATTTGATATTATGGTAAGAATTTTAAATCCCGAATTTTTGTTTAGTACATCATCAAGTTTTTTTGTAACCGTTTCTCCCGTTTTTCCCAAAGCTTGTTTAATTTGTTGTTTAACCTTTTCTATACAACACACGGATTCTGATAATAGCATCCCAGATGTTTCTAAACGTGTAATTTCAGTAGCCAAAAATCCAAAATTACTTTTTATGTAGATTAAATTTTCTTCAATTTCTGGGTTTTCGACTAATTTTTTAGCGTTTTTAATAGCCAGTGCATCATCTGAGTCCAATTGAAGTATAACATTTTTGATATGTAGAAAATGTTCACAATAATAGTTTACGGCATTTAACCAAGTGCCCCAACGAGTAATAATTGGTTCTGGAGGTAGAGGAATACCCGGAGCCAAATTCTTAAACAAATTTATACGGTATGGAGCTTTTAAAAAAACTTTTTTAATATTTGATATTAAACTATTAATTTCTGGAAAATGTATTCTGATCTGTTCTGCCACTCTGTGTAGGCCATGTGCCAAACAAGTTATATGCACCATTTTTGAGTAAAGAACTTGTAAAGATTTTCCTGATTTTACCATATATAGTGCTGCATCCGACACAAAAAGTACGAGTAAAACGTTGTCATGAAGTATGCCTTCAGGCCATAATATAAAAAGAGATCTGTCATAGTAGCTTTCTCTAACACCTCTGAGTTAAGTAGGAATATTTTTCCAGGATTGTCTACTTCCAATGTACCAATTATAACATTGGCGACATATCGCCCCTCAACGTCAGTAGTCTCATCTATTGACACCCATACATTTTTGTTCCTGACGTAATCTCTAATTTTAATAATAGTACCTATTTGTATAGCATTGATCTATATAGTTTTTTCGAAGCGTAGACTCGTCAGGAATAATTTGTTTTGTATGTTTATGCAGAAAATCGCGAAATGTTGGTATATTTAATTTAGTGAGAGGGATATTTGCGGACAAAAAAACATTACACAGTTCTTCGTTGAATGATGACTTCATTGACATACCTGTGACTAGAAGCTGAGATTTTGGTTTTTCTTGTTGATTTCTAATATTTAGCTGCTGGATATGTTTACCTCTAGCGATATGTTGTTGAATATTATATTTTTTTTCGGCAGATACTTTAACACCACATACTTTGCAAAAAAGTACAGCATTGTCACAAGAAAAAATGTCTTCACCAAATTCTTTTACAAAATTTCGAAGACGAGCACTACAATTAATAATTTTTGGCATTTTGTAAGTGACTATCGGTAAGANACGTATCTAAATTACATCGATAAACATACCGAGACATAACATAACGAGATAAAATCGATTGAGCCAGCCATATACAATATACGATATTGGAAAACACATTATTTTACAATAAAATAAAAATTAACATTTCAAATACGTTTATTTAGAACACATTTTGAAAAATGTACCAAAAATGCCCAAAAAAGCATAAATATTCAAAAAACGCAAAAAAAGCAAAAAAAAAGCAAAATAAAATGTCGTGCATAGTAGTATAGCAGTATAATTCGAATTTGTAGCTGACATAGCTTCGTTTTAGAGCAATAGAAAAAAAAGGCAAATGCCTTCATAATCCGTACTCTAGTAATGAGGTTGCACACCAAAATACACTACAGCGAGAGCCTTTAACTTACTACTACTACTACTACTACTATTTACGATGGTAATAATAAAAATAAATATTATTGATATTATTATTATAACTTTTTTATTAGCTTAGTTGTATGATATCACACTGATTTCGCGGCTCAGTGGAATTGAGATAATCAGATGTGAATATTGTTGATAAGTTATTATTTATTATTGAAATTCTTAATTTTCATAGTAATTTTAGACTATGAGTTTAGCCTTGAATGTATTGATTTTACAATGATGTGTGTTTTTATATTTAATTATTTATTATTATTTGTTTGTGTCTGTCATCACTCATCACCGTTTCTTGCAGTAAAAATTGCTTTGAATTTCTTTGACAGCAACTTTCCTGGTAGGAAAGTAAATCGAGTTGGTGCATTCAGGATTTCAAAATTTGAAATATCCAGTAGTTTTCAAAAGCAATAGCAAAAACAAACAAAATATTAAAGATAAACAAGAATTATTACTCAAAACCAGTTTTCGAAAAAATCGTTTTGGTTTTTAGTGTAACTCTAACAAAAATTAATATGGATACAAACAATTTTCACTGAATTTTTGGTTTAGCATTTTCTATACACCATAAATTTCCAAAATATTTTACTTGGGTTGAACTATTTATAGACGTATGAAATTTTCGATTATTATTTTTTTTCTAACTAATATCGATAAAAAATTGTTCACTCGGTGAAAAAAACTTGTAAATGGAATTCAAGCTTCCTCGTATAGGGTGTTGTTAGTGCATTTGCACTAAAAGAAAAATTTGAGCGTAAATCAACAATAATTTTTTATAATGTAGTTAAAAATATGAAAATTTTCAATTTTTATAGCTAGGGTTTGAAAATTTAAAACAAAGTTCAGCTTAAACAGTTTTTCCCCTAATTAAAAAATATATATGAGTATAGTTATTTTTTACAGACATTTTACGTTCAAATTTGGACAAAACTGCATATTAACACAAAAAATAATGTTAATCATTTGTTGTAATTCGATTCCAATACAACCCAATTTTACAGAAGTATATTTAGTTTACCCCAGCATAACTGATGATTTAAGAAAGATATTAACTCAATTTACCTTCTATCATATGAATAATAAGTAATAACAATATAAAATATTCTTACACTGACGTACCGCCTCCACTCAGAATCGTTTTTCGTATACTTACAACAATATCATATCATTGAATTCAAATTTAATACCATCCATTACAATTACCACATAGATACCTACCTAATTGTACAGCAGAGTGACTTCCACTTACAAGCCTTTTTGTTTTTTAAGTTTATGTCATTTGACTACCTATACTTTAATACAATTGTCTTGTACCAATATTCCGACATCAAATTAATAAACCTCCAGTGAAATATACATGAGCTCTTACATCATAATATAATATTAATAATATACATACTCATAGGTTTTAAAAGTAAACAACAATAAACATAAAATATTTGTATGTAGGTATTATCTGTTCTATTAAAGACTATCAAGAATAACACTATTTTCAAGCTAATAAAATATTAAAATATGGTAAAAGCTAATATTAAAATATTAAATAGGTGTTGAGTAGGTGGCCGTAATGGATATGTCAAATTAATTCAATGATGTAAAACTATTGTACTTATACAAAAAATTATGATGAGCGAAGACAGTCTGTCAGACGTACAAAAACTTAGTAGGTACCTATGTTGAATTAATTTTTTCCAAAAAAAACAATGCATTTGATCATCATTGACCATTGTGTTATTCGTTGAAAGATTCAGACAGCCATGGTAAATATTTTTAAAATTCAGCAAAAAAAAATTATTTTTCTCTGTTTAAACATTTAATGTCTCATTTCAACCAAACTTAAACTTGAAAATGTTAAAATATATATTAAATAAAAACAGGGTCTTAATATTTTGTAGATTTGTATACAATATGAATTAATTATTATAATCCTTGTTTTAACACTTCAATCCATATCTGTTTTATATATTTTTAACGTTTTATACATTTTGAACTACAAGATAATTTAATTGTATTAATATTTTAATTATATATAGGTACTAAGTAAAAAAAAAAAATGTTCCAATGGATATTTTATATTACTCAACGACTATTATAACAACTCATAGAGAACCCTTGAATTGAATTTTCAATCATTTCAACCAAACAATACAATATTTATTGACATTTATAGGAAAAATAAACCAATACAATATGAAATGTCTATAAACAGTTTAAAGTGAATCAAAATATTTCGAAAATTTGATCATGTACAAATAACAATATAAATAAACATATTTTGTTAAACTTTAACCTTCCAAATATTTTGTAAAACTAAATAGAATAAATAAATATTAATTTAACTTTATGATCATCAAACCATTATATAATGATCATTTATATTAATATTTATTATTTATATTATGCTTTAAAAAAGTAATGTAATTCAAATAAAATTTCTTATTTGTACAATTAACTCACTTTTAAATCTACAGTAAGTTGTTAGAAGAGCTATAACATTTTAAAGTTATCATTATTAGTGTACATTAACACTTCATGTGTTAGGTAACATAATCAATTATTTATTGTAATGGTTCACTAATCTGTAATGAACTAACCAATCGGGCCACTGATTCTAGTGATTGTTTACGAAACCCGTTATTTAATTATAATTTAAGAAATCGTAATTTAATACATCCTTTTAATTAATTTAAATAAGTGGAATATCATAATCAAATTTCTATTTATTATAAGTTATAAAGGTTGCGTACTTGTACAATAACCTAAAAATAAAAAAATACATAGGTATAATTATATCTGTAAAATGATTTATATCATGAAAAAAAAAAAATTATTCAGCTGCAGAGTAGGTACCTACACTAATATTAGATTATACAAATGTGATATACTGGACATTAAAATATGTTCCCTCTAAAATCAAAGAATTGTCTGGTCTTTTTGAAGATAGATAGATATTAAATTATTACTACCTAGATCATTATATTCTATACAATTCAAATCTAGTAAATGACATACATTTTTATTAATCAGAGAGGTTATATAGTTATAGTTGATTTCAGTTTCCATATGAATTCAAAACAAATTTACAATTCACAGGTGATATATATGAACACAATAAAAAAAAAAAATACAATCATCATACATCAATAATTAATACATACTGTTGACGCTGAAAATATTTATATTGCGATATTATGCTAATGAGCACAGAGCGCGGCGACGAGGAGCATCTTATCTGTCTGTCCACCTCTCTCCCGCACTCCACTCCGTCCTTTATGTTTTTAAATTGTGTAATTATTATAGTATTACTATACTATCTATGTATATTTATTCTCT